GAAGCCACTGTGTTACAGTGTCTTCTTCATATGTGACACTCATTGCTATAGTTCAAAAATAAAAAGAAAAGTGTATCAAAAAAGAAGCTATAAATAAGTAGTAAGAAGAATAATATATGCATTTATCAAATAATTATAAACGTCCACACTTGTTGTTTTTTGTCAAGCCTGTTTTTTTAAATATATAGTGATAACCGCCTCCAGTAGTAACATTTCCAACACGAGAAAACTTAAGTCTGTAATAATTAAAAACGTATTAAGGAAATTGTTATCATTGTTACAGTTGCAAATGTATCATTGTTACAGTTGCAAATAGACAAACGGAAATCCAAATGATGGGCACGAACTGGTGTAGCTCTCGTCTGATGTTTGTTCAACATTTGTTCTCATCAGACAGTTTCGTAGGTCGGCCGAAGGTTAATCCGTCTAATCTCCAGGAATCTTGAGTCCCGGCCAATGGAAGAAAGAAAGAAATTTAACATCGCAAAGAAGAAGAAAATAAGACATCCAGGTAAAGAAACGAACATTATAAAAATTTGGGACACATTTTTACACGACGTTCTCTAGTCCCAAACTAAGCAACCCTTGTTCTATGGATATTAGATAGCTGATAAACATACTTTTCTTTTTAAAATAAATACGTATTACACATATATAAGCACCCAGACACTAAACTTAATGAATTTGCTTGTAGGCATTTTCGTCAATAAAAGAACTTCTTATGTCTTACAATATTCTTCATGTATTTGTATTAAAACAGTAAAGATTTAAATAATAAGTTCTTATATAACAATTTTAAAAAGGGGAAAGAATGACAAGTACGTTGAGTAAGTAAGCAAGTATATGGAACAGTATATGACAGTAAAAAAAAAGACGATGTTGCTAGCTTAAGACATAGATTAAAAATGTATACATCTCCACATAACACTTAATATTCTGTTTTTTAGTATTACTTGAAAATATGTGCTGTCTAACTATCAAGGTTCATGATATTCAGCCTGGTGACAGACAAATTATTACATATTAAGAACAAATTATAGCACAGTTTGGACCTATAATAGTTTTTTGTTTTATTTTGTAGGTATATTTAAGCCGAAGCAATGTTTAAATGTTTTTTTTTTTATAATATGAAGCAAACCAAATGTAATTATTGCCGGTTCCGCGTACCTTGTTGTGAGATGTCCTAATTTCAAAACGGGATTTGTAAATGGAAGGGTTGGGGTTGATAGAATCCCCTGAATGTAATTGCCAATCGGATTTCAATCTAAGAGATTACGGAAAATCGTTAAAACTAGTGAACTTGTCATCAATTGGATGGTAATGCTGTATTATTTTTCATAAATTCAAAAATCATTCTGTATTTCTTTATTTTTTAAAAAACATTGCCCTTACCTTGGGATAACATTACCCTGCGTTGTAAGGCCGTTTCAAAAACATCAATTTCACGTGGACCTACACCCAGATATGCAACAATTATCTGTGGGTCGCGCTAATAGCTGTCGCGTGCGGGTTCGAACCCACGACCCACGACGCCGAAGCCAACACTTTGGCAACTGCGCCACGGAGTCATAATTTAGCATTATTATATTTTCTTAACCTACAGTAAGGATACCCAAGATATATACACCCTTACTGTAGGATAACATTACTTTGTATTATATGGTTTCACGTTTCACATTTGACGTGATTTAAAACACCCAGAGCCGAAACAATTGTATGTGGGTCACACAAAATCCTGAGTGGGAATCGAACCCACGACCCCCGACGCCGAAGCCGATACCTAGGCAACTGCGTCGCGGAGTCTTCAATTAAATCGTCATTAAAGTTGTCCAATTCAATTACACGAATTAAATTCGATCTCTCGGGAGCTACTCGGCTGTTAGAATAATCGCGAGCGCGGCCTCAATTTCAGGGGAGCAGCACTCGGCTCTAATTAAAATCCATAATTTCCCAGTCGCTCGGGACAAATGAACCAACCGATCCGCCATCAAAGGGCTGACGTCGCCCCATATCAGATGTGGCGCTTTGACGCGTTACGCGAACACGAAATGTTATAATGAACCGCCCGCATCAGCCTCCTCTTTATTACAGGCCTGAAGGGCTCAGGAATGCTCTTTCGTGGGCGACGTCTCTCGTTTCTAACGCCGGCTATGTCTTGGCTGTCGCGTCGTCGGTGTGATTTCCTTGGCCTCCTGCGCCAGAGGGTGTGGGTTCGATCCCCACTACTGGATAAATATTATTGTGTGATGAACATAGTATTTTCTAGTGTCTGGGTGTTAATATATATATACATGTGGGGGGATAAATGAAGGTCGTTTCGCTAGGGAATCTCCTTTATTACGCGGATTAACAAATTTTACTTTAAGAGCTCAAACGTCGTTCCTACTGTATATCGCCATTACTCCTTTTTTTTCCCATCTCTTTCACACAGCTCTTCCGTTTCCTAACTTCAGTCCGATCCGTTTCATGCATCACTTATTCATTCATCCCACATTCGGCCATCCTGCTATTAGTCTGTCCTCAGACTAATTTAACGTAAAATGATTTCACATTACATAATTATACAAATAAAGATACTCTTCCATACTCCGTTTACAACATTGTGTATCTAACACCCTTCCATACACATACAGAATGAAATCTTACACTAATGGCTTACAAATTACATATCTCAAAACTTTTCTAGAGACACATATACAATTATTTTTTACACTTGTGGTACACAGTTTGTATATCTCAACAATTTTATACACCTATACAATACAATCTTAACTTATGTTGACTAAACAATCAATTTTTAAACTTATACTTGTGACTACTGACAAAAAAACAAAAGCAAACCTAATATAAACCTCATTAATTTGTAAATGAAACTTAATGGCCATATGCAGTGTTTTAGGAAACAATACAATTTTAGAAATAAACCTTGAAATACTTCTTAAATATGGAATACACAAAAATATAAAATACAATCTAAACAAAACAAGATCACTAAGTCCAACAACTCACCATGTGTCAATAGGTTTAGGCCAGACTTTCATATGATCAGCAGATGAAGAGGTTTTCCATGGACCTTCTGTAGTACTGTCCATTTTTTCCACATCATATCTATCCTTCCCCTTTACCTTAGTTATCTGGTATGGACCTAGGAACTTGGGTTTCAATTTCATTCCTACTCCAAACTGTGTTCTTTTTATAGCCACAATATCTCCAACATTATAACTGTAACCTCTTTTTCTCCTTTTGTTAAAACTTCTCTTGTTTTCTTCTTGAATTTTCAATATTTGCTGTTTCGCTTTCACACGTAGTTCTTCTCTATCTTTAATATAATGATTTTTCTACTTTCCTCTCTAAGCAATTCATAAATTTGTATATCCTCTTTTGTCTTCATTTTTGTGCCAATAATAAGTTCAAAAGCGGTAGTGTCAATACTTCTGTTATAAGTGCTGTTTAAGGCTCTTTGAAGACGACTCACATGTTGGTACCATAATGTAGGATTTTCAATACAGAGTTTGGTCAGTACAGAAATAATAATTCTATGAACTCGCTCCACCTGTCCATTTCCCCTGGGTACACCAGTAGTTATGGTTAGGTGCTTAATATCTTCCTGTTTGCAATAGTCTTCAAATTCACTACTTGTAAATGCTGTACCCTTGTCAGTTATAATTCTATGCGGGTTACCAAAACATTGCTGATGCAGTCTTAATTTATCTAATGCTTCTTTACTGGTTGTGCTTTTTGTTGGATAAATCCATGTGAACTTAGTAAATGCATCAATTATAGTAAGAATATAGTTATATTGTTTCTTAGTTTCCATCATAGGCCCAATGTGATCAACATGTATTGTGTGCAATGGAACATCCTGTTTTTCAATGGGATTAAGAAATCCTTCCTGCTTTCCCTCCTTTCTATTCGCCAATAAGCATGGTATACAGGTTAACAAGAAATTTTCTATTTTCTTAGGTAAATTATTAATGTAATAATCTTTACTTACTAACTCTAACATCTTCTTTATAGAGAAATGACCATTTTGGTGGACCCTTTTTAAAATCTCATTTTCCATGCTCTTCGGAATAACTAATTGTTTGTTTTCTCCTTTATATAGTAATCCACTATCCAATATATAGTCTTGATAAGGTTGTTGTTTCAAAATTTCAATAATTGCTTTCAGGCCATCATCATTTTCTTGAGCATATCTTATGCTGTCATGTAAATCTGCAAAAATGGTGTGTAAACAAATGGGTTCCTACTAAGCGCATCAGTATGTTGCATCTTACTTCCTTTGCGATGCTCAATACTAAAATCATAATCTTGCAAAAGTATTATCCACCTTGCAACCCTTGTGGACATTGCTAAATCTTTCTTATTTAATGTCATTTGGAATGCTTTACAATCAGTTATGATCTTAAAATGGATTCCGAATAAATAATGTCTAAATTTTTTTATGCCTTCAATAATCGCTAAAGCCTCAAGTTCATAGCTGGTATATTTGCTCTGTTGTTCAGTAGTCTTCCTACTCATATAATGAATTGGATGTAACTCACCATCCTCAACACTTCTCTGCATTAAGATAGCTGAATATGCAATACAAGAGGCATCTGTATGTAACTCTGTCGGCAACCTAGAGTCAAATATCCTTAATACTGGTTTTGTAACTAATTTCTCTTTTAATGTATTAAAGGAAACCCTATGCTCATTGTGGAATACAAACTCTACATTCTTCTTAAGTAAGTCTGTAAGTGGTTGAGCAATCAGTGCAAAATTATGAATAAATTTACGAAAATATGAACATAAACCAATAAAACTTTGCAGCTGTTTCACATTTTTTGGTTCAGGAAACCTTGCTACGGCCTCAGTCTTATCCAGTGAAGGTCTCACCTTTCCACCTTCAATTACATGTCCAAGATACTCAACCTTTCTAACTAAAAGTTGACTTTTTTGCCAATTAATTTCAAGACCATACTCACTAGCCCTCTTCAATACCTGTGATAATCGATCTAAAGCTTGGTCTTCGCTTTCCGCTGGAATTAATAAATCATCGATGAAAATCAAGATCACACCTCTATCTACCAAATCACGAAAAATTATGTTTATAAACCTTGTAAACACCTTAGGACACACACCGATAAACCAAATGGAGCCCTCAAGAATTCATACTGTCCGGATGGGGTAACAAAAGATGTATATTTAATTGAATCTTCATGTACCCTTAAATGAAAGTAACCATTCCTTAAATCCAGCGCACTAAAAATTTTACCATTTTTACATTTATCAATGAGATCATCTACAATAGGTAAAGGATATTCATCTTTAATTATTTTCCTATTAATCAACCTATAATCAATGCAAACCCTAAGACTACCATCCTTCTTTCTTACTATTACTAATGGACTTGCATACTCTGACTGGCTTTCCCTAATAATACCATCTTCAAGCCATTTGCTTATTTGACAACTAACCTCTTCTTGTTCCTTTAATGCTAGTTTACGGGGTCGTTGAGCAACTGGAATATCATCCTTGAGGATAATACGTAATTCAATTGGTGCTTCTTTTGTCTTCAATGGTCGGTAGGTCTCCATCATACACCTCGCTTGTTGTTGTGCTATCCTGCTGACCTCACCACCTACAATGTCTAAATGAGAAGCAATACAAGTTAAATTATGCAGCCACTCTTCATTTGAAGGCCTAAGAAAAACATTATTGTTTTCTAAAACAAGGCAAACATATTGTAAAACTGCTGGCCAAGAATTATGTTATATGTTATTGCGTTATCAGGCACTATATAAAACAAAATATTATCAAAGCAATGGTTGTCAACATACACTGTAGCATTAAAGCGACCTAATGCAGTTACTTTTATCAAGCCTAATCCAGTAAACACTGTCATGCACTTTTCAAATGTCTTTCCGGGCCATGCGTTATTGAAGCAGTCCATGCGTATTAAATTAACATCACTTCCAGAGTCTATCAGCGCAAGAATTGTTTTTTCGCAAACAGTAATATACTTTAGAGGTCTTCGACATCCATTAGCATCGTTTACATTCATGACATTGCGATTTTGACAACTGTCTAACTTCACGTCACTTGAATCGACATTTTCATTATTGCCACCCTGAAGGAACAAACTGTTGCGATGTCGTGATTCGTCGCAGTCACTAGGCTGAACATCGACACACATCGTTTGCATTTTCTTGCTGCCAACCTTATTGAACTCCCGATCGCGCCGCCATTTTTTTTCTTCGCTTGTATCTGCTATCTCGCTCAAGCGTTGACCTTTGAACTTGTAGCATTCCGATGATTTGTGTCCGAATGTATTGCATCGAAAACATTTATAACCCAAATGTTTTTGCGGGCATTGTATGGAAATATGACTTACGTCACCACAATTGTAACACTTTTTCAGCTGCTGGTTAATCTTCGTACTCGAACTTTCTTTATGATTGTTTTGATTGAAGGGCCTTCTTGCTACACTTTTAACTTGTTTTATTTGTTTTTCCTTGATACATTCGTAGATTTTTAATTTCTCCTTTAGATCAGAGTAAGATGTTACACCGTACAACATAATCTTATTTATCTCGTCGTCTATAATTCCATCTATTATGTATTTTATTGCCACATAATCAGGCATTTTTCCTCGTTTTCCTAATTCCTTCATTATCAGCATATAGTCTATGCAGCTCTCGTTATGTTTTTTCTTTCTGGCACTCATCATTTCATGTATAGACTTTATATCCACAGAGTCCGGAAATTCTCTGGTGATAGCTACTTTCAATTCTTCCCATGTTTTAAAAGGTTTCTCAGCCTTTAGCCATAATAATGCCGTACCTGTAAGCGATCTTCGCGCCACAAGTAATTGTTGCACAGCAGACCAGCCAAATATTTCAGCATTATCTTCCACATCTTGTATCCATCTAGTAATGGAGTAAGTTTTGTCCTGCCCGTTAAACGTAGGCACAAGCTCCGCCGTCATTTGTAACATTGGTCCAAGCTCTCGCCGTCCGCCATCTTGTCCATGTTCGTACACGTAATCCTCCTGGCGACTTTTACGTCTTTCTTGCAGATCCTTCGGCATGATGATAGCAGTTGCTTTCGTTTATCGTCGTCGTCGTCGTCGTCGTCTTCTTATACGTCGTCAAAATATTGCAGACCACTAATTTGATGCCTTAGAATACGCCGCCACGTGCTGCGTATTTGTCGTTCGCCTGAGATACACCGAATATGCTCGTTCTTCAATCGCGGACGAGTCCCCAAAAATGTGGGGGGATAAATGAAGGTCGTTTCGCTAGGGAATCTCCTTTATTACGCGGATTAACAAATTTTTCTTTAAGAGCTCAAACGTCGTTCCTACTGTATATCGCCATTACTCTTTTTTTTCCCATCTCTTTCACACAGCTCTTCCGTTTCCTAACTTCAGTCCGATCCGTTTCATGCATCACTTATTCATTCATCCCACATACATATATATATATATATATATATATATATATTATAAGTATTTATTTACAAAAGAAAAGTATGTTTATCAGTTTTCTAGTACCCATAGGACAAGCTTTGCTTAGTTTGGGACTAGGGAATGTTGTGTAAAAATGTGTCCTAAAATATTTATTTATTATTATTATTATTTATTTTATCGAAAGTCCTTGAAAAACGTTTTTCTTTGTTAAAAAAAATTGCGGTTTATAAACTTTCATGATATTTATTTCATAAGATTCGCTCTAAAATATTACAGCTCATTTTAAAGAATTTTTTAAAATGAGCTGTAATATTTTAGAGCTCATTTTCAAGGATTTTTTTATAGCACGGTAATTCTAGCTCCAGTAAAGCCCGCCAGAAAGCTGTTTTAGCTCTATCACAGATGAACAGTTGAAATTTTTACAGTTGCTACTGAAAGAATTTGCAAATATTCGCCGTGATATGAAAGTACTATATTCCATATCCTTATTGTTATAGTTTGAACATTAGAAACATATTCGTATCCTAACGCTAAACATTTAAATTAAAGTTTAACCATCACCATACGACAAATATTTGTATGGAGTCATAGTCATAACGGGAGTATGTGGAGTCATGATGGGAGTGAAATGAATCTCAAAACAATACCCTTAGATACTTTTCTGGAATTTGTTTCGGCCGTTTGGAGTTTGATAATCCGGGTTGTAGGAAATTGCACTTTATCTAGACTGTTTAGAGTTTGAAATGCTCGGTAGCCACCTATATCCGAGAGTGACTCCTCAGCAATTCCAACAGCAATCAATAAACGTCTGGCCGCGCATTAATTACCGGGCTCAGGTGCTCCCGGACCACGACATACGGAACTCCTAAATAAGTGAATCTCCAATCAATCTGACGCCTAGAAGAACTTAGTTCCCGCCCGCATTCGGTCTGCGTTGAAAATCAGTTGGACGCGGTGCTTCCGACTTTAATGGATTAAGTGAGATTCGATCCGTTTAATAAACTTTGAAACTAAATGTTTGTGTTTGCTTACTACAAATCTTAATCACAGTTGAATCTTTAGTACCTATAATGAATAACATAGTTAATTGTGAAAAGCGAATTGAGGGAAGTCGTGTCAATATAGAGCATCATTTGTGATTGATATGTTTTATCTAATCAAAATACTGCACCATAAAGTGATGATGTAATAACTTCATTTGCGTATCATATCTTCTATTCTTCAAATTTTGTATCTTCGATTCTGTTTCTCATCTAGTTTTTCCCAAGAAGATTCATTCTAATATATCGTAAACCGACACTAGAGCTTTGATTTACTCAGAAGTCACCTCTCCTGAAGAATAGCTGATAGTAGATTCTGTTGAAAATTTAATCCCCAATGGATGTGCGTGCATTAATTTCCAAATAGAATGCCGCATATACAACCTATAGGCGAAAGAGCTCACTAAAACCGCATCGAAATTGGGTAGAACCGTTCGTTTTGTGTTTTAAACAGAAGTATGTTTGAGTTTTAGCTTTGTAGTGATACGGTATGCAAAGTGCGGTCGGCCTGTGAAGGCGCCTTTAATGTTTTCATTCCGATACTACGGTTAACTGCGTACGTTTAACCCTATTTATTTTATCTGTTAGTTTGAGCTGGAGTGCTTGGCATTCGGTCGCCATCCTTCGATACAGCGTTGAAGGCAGTTCTCCACAAACTCTACATAAATGCATTGAATGTAATAATAATTTTGCCCACTTTTTTGGGACGTGGTTTCGATCCTGTGTTGTAAGGGCGTTTTAAAAACATAAATTTTACGTGGGCAATAGCACCGACATACGAAACAATTGTTTGTTAGTCACAGAAGTGAGTTGCAGAAATACTTACGTATTCTGCCAGCTGGGGGTCATAATATATAATTGTATAAAGACTTAATAAAAAATGTAGTTAGCTAGTTCACGAGAGCTTACAGTAATTATATTTTAATATTAGGAAGGTACGGTTAGAACTTTAGTTGAAGCAAGTAACTTTTAGGTGTGAAGTCAAGGATATAAAAAAGACGTATATACTAGAAGTATCAAAATAGTCATTTGGCTACAGTTAGTAAAAAACAAGTTTTAGTAATTTTGGCTTGACTTTGTATTTAATATAGGAAAAGTACTCTTCATTCAAACTACGAGTTGAAATTTATGAAACTTTACCATAATATAATATTAATGGGAGAATCTTTTTGATACTTTCCACAGACAAAGAAGAATTTATGAGTATTTTACGTCAGAACCTAGAGTTCCTTAGATAACCTTACCCATGCCAGTCATAAAAGCGCATTTTAATCGAGATAAAAACTCGGTCATCATCAAATTTCCGCGGCCATTTCCAGGGCGGACTTTTGCCAATTACTCTCTGTTATTAACGAAACTTTCCTTTCTCATTTCGCTCCACGGCAACACTGAGATCACAATTACTGATTAAAATGTAGACGATACTTTGTCAGAGTGATAAATCGACTGCTCCCGCGAGTTTATTGACTAAGTGTGCCTGAGTGTCGGCTATAATTTTAAGATAGACGTACGCGATAGGTACCGTAACAAACGAAGTAACTCCGTACTACGGTACTCTTCTCTCAAAATGATATTCCGTTCCATTTTTCCTAATAGGGTAGATAGAGACACCTAACGCTCCTATCGCCCCCGAAACAGTTTTGTGTCTTATTTGTTTTTTTTTTTGTGTGAGAAAGGCAAACGAAGTGGCGGTTCACCTGAAGTTAAGTGGTGACCGCCGCCCATGAACATGAGTTGCAACACCCGTAGGGTTGCCAATGCGTTGCCATCTTTTAATAAAGTGGGCCCCGACTTACTCACTAGCGAGAGAAAACGCAGAAGTGTAATACTTCTAATTTACGCCGGACTTCTGTGAGTTCGTGGTACTTACCCGGACGGACCTGCCCATTCGTGCAACAGTGAACACTATTTCTTGTCCCAACCATAGTATAATTTATAATTATACTTACATGAAGGCAACTGCAATCCTGCCATGGTTGAAGTTTCACGTCAATTACCAACTAAACCGACAGCTGTTGCGTCCTCGATCAAGCAGTGCATTAGCGTTGACCGCAGATATATGCATCGATTCGGCTGCCACATTAATATTCAGATACATTATTATTGATGTCTCATTAATTTTTATTAGACTATACTTTTTTACTTTAACTACTTTAACTGTGGTAGGACCACGCAAAGGTGTTCGCTGTTGCACGAATAGGCAGGTCTTAATGAGTTGTTCTAGAAAAGAGGTTTTGAAAGTACACTAACATTTTCCTAAAAACGGCGTTATATTATAAAAGATAAATAAGCGATTAGGTCCTTATATTTCACGTTTCATTACAATAAAAACCAGTCAGTGATGGCTAATTCAGCGTTAAAATACCTTCGATGGCTTTCAAAAATATCGTTGCGCCGTTGTTAGTAGAAAAATAAACAGACCCACGAGAAATACGTGCCTCCACCCCGATATTGAAATCGTCCGCTTTTATCTTTTTGCTAAATTTGAATAAGAGCTTGTCTCCTATCGAAGTAAAACAATAAACTGAGACATTATACATCGTTATTGGGAGCGAAACGGAGTCGCACTAAGGTGTCCCTTTAGCAGAATACATTCAAAGTTTTCTTAAATACGGTGGATCGCGGTAACTCGCGGCAATAAGGTTTTATTTTAATGTTTTCCACATTGCTGGATTTCTGACTACGTGTCTCAACGTGACGGGGTGTCGGTGATGATGAAGTTTTTAAGTTGGAAGCTAGTTGTCATACGGATATGTGTCAAGGAAATTTTCTTATTTAATTTTTAGTTGCCAGTGTCTGCACTTACTTGTGAGATGGGGATTAAAACTTTTTTGACCTGGGCGGTCAAAATTTGAAAAAGGAAAGGAAAGGACGAAGGCGATTTGAAAAACTTAACTAAAAGTTAAGTTTAAAAGTAAGCGGTCGAAATCCTAACCACGAGAAAATCTGGTCCTCTCTATTTAAATTAAACTATTTCATTAGTTTTACCGCGATGAAAATACTAAAGTAAAATACTTTTATTTAATATGTATAGCGAGCTGTTACCCGCCCGCTTTAATGGGCTGAAATTAAAATTTGTATTTAGTTATTAACAAATAATTCTTGAATAATTCTTATATTTGTTATTTTTTCAATATACTTTTTTTTTAATTTACGGAATTTATAATACGGAATTGTTACTAAGTAGGTTTAAAATTGTTATAAAATTTTATGATATATAAAACACGACATTCCGTTACGCTACACATTCCGTTTCAATAAACCATTCACAAATCTTTTACTCGCTTTTACAATATCAACCAAGCAATTTTCTGTCATAACAGCCGGGGATTTCTGAAATCTCGTACTCCTTTTATGAATGTTTGTCTACGGTCCACGGATCCCTAAAAATATAACAATGGCGCTGCGATGTTGAACGACTTTCCCAAGAAAGGTCCCTACGGGATGTCGATTCGATCCTAACGTTCTTTTACCAAAACGAAACCCTAGCTAGTGTATCTTGTTGAGAACATTTTAATCGATTTTAAAAACTGAGGAGGCACTTATAATAAGTGCTAAAATCATTGGTTCATATTCGTCTAGGATAATCTCAACTGTCTGTTTTAATATAAGTACCTGGAGTACCGTTTTTTGGTAAATCGTGTATTTTGGAAATTAAAAAAATAAAGAAAGCAATGACCTGGTATAGAAAAAAAGTAAAAAAGTAAGTGGTAAATCATCGTGACACCAACCGCGGCCTTCTGTTTCGGGGCCGCCTGATTACCGACCGAGCTATTATAACATATTTTTTTTGCGGCGAATTTTACCGTCATATTCGAATGATATTTTTCATTCCCTGAAAACAGGGATAAAAGGACATTTTATAAAAATAAAACCTAGCTATATCGATTTTTCGCCACCGAATCCACGCACATACTAAATTTCATGTGAATCGCTGGAGCCGTTTCCGTGATTCCGATTACGAATATATATACAGCGTGTCGTTATCATCGCGACAATAAATGAAGACACGTCTAACGCTACTTGCCAATAATCATAAAAAATATTAACGTTAAACAAAGTCCATAATTAAAAAAAAATATTTTTCAAACAAACTAATTAAGTAAAAAAGAAACAAAATTTGTAACACCTGTACAACTCGCGCCACAGCGTCGTATTACAAGCCTCTCCTTCTAACAGAATGTTTTGTCTCTTTTAAATTCATTAAACCCATTCATATGCTTTGTGAACTTTACAAATGAACTTTACGTTACGGTTTTATAGGTAAGGATGTTCTAAAATTCTTTGTTTTGGAAAATTTTATAACTCTGTAAATATTGATGTTTAAAGAATTTAAATGTTTAATACAACTTTCATTTATTGTCGTGATGGTAACGACACGCTGTATATATATATTGTGTCTATTGCTGTCTGCCCTGTTCTAAGGCACGAGAGCTTGCTGTCATATATTACGTAGTACCTCACTCATGTTCATGCGCATCAACCCATTGCGCGAAGCCACTTTCGGTGAAAACTAGCACGACAAAACACCGCCGCACCCAATCCACTAATGGTCTACACCCGAACCGTGCTGCCTCGTGAATAATGTAGCCCGCCTTGTATAGGACACGTTGTAGTTTTATGCGGGCGTCCTAATTTGCATGGTGGTTGCGAAAAGGCTTTGATAATGTTACATGACTCAGGTCTTCTTCCTTCTTGGCTGCCGTTTAACTGGTACTGTTGTGTATTTACAAAACTTTGTAAAGAGCAACACTCTCTTTTTGGATTTGTTGTTAATTTTTCCAAATTGAAGGTGAAATTTATGAGAAAATTAACACTGTGATGATCTGATGATAGAGTGACAAATTTATTTCTGTGTACTTAGCTACATACCAGATATGAATATCGGTGGTTTTGTCTAATATTTGTCACGATATTCTATGGGATATTTCTGTCTCAATGGCAAGCAAATCGCCATAGATCTTCGGTTATTGTTTTGCAAAAGATTCTTCACATAATTTCACATATTATATTTTGTAAGTCGCAACTGCATACCGCTTTTACGTTTTTCCATGAGATCATTACTGCCTCAAGGTATGAGTGGCTCATTAAACTTTTCCATTTAAATACCAACGACCCCATACCTTAGTGCTTCTTTTTACGATCGCCGTTCCGTTTCCCATCCTGAAACTTCCATAATTATCCCGCCGCACTCGCGCCGTAACGGGCGAGCGATAAAAAGAACCGATAATCAGTATTATTAGCGAAGTTCCGCCTTTTGTTACATTGTAATTGCAGCCGTTCGCCCATTTGTAGCGGTCCCGCGTAGCAACAGATCCAATTATATTAATTGCGAAAAAGTAGACGCACATATTCTTTTAAACTCCGCCGCGATGAAAGTTAGTTCACACAAATATATTCGCCTGAACAATATTGGTCCCGTTGGGAATCTAGAACAGCTTTTGTCCTGAGGCAAGAGAGCTGGCGGTTCACCTGATGTTAAGTGATACCAGCTGTCTATGGACATATGTGCAAAGAAAGACTTAATTCCCACACTTAAATCCTACCAACAACTTTACCTCGGCTAAGACTGATCAAGTTCTTAACTCTGTGTAATAATATCACCTCCATGTTTACTTTACATTCCGACTGGATGCAAACAGAGTTCAGTTTGTACAGTAGCTAGCGCAAATCTCATCGTCAACACAAACATCGGCTTGGCGTTGGGAGTTAGTCCCGCGCGGAGTGTGGTCCTTATGGGGGGAGTCCGATGCTAATGAAATTGGATCTGAATCCAGATGACTTCAGCGCACAGCGTTAACTTTAATTAAAGTGATCTACAGCCGCGGCACGTGCAGTGACGGTTAGTTCGTGGGAGTTGGAATTCAACAGCAAAAAATACTTTTTGTAGTGCTACTTTAGTCGTAGCAGCCGTGACAGCTCAGTGTCAGGGTGCTCGCCTTTAATTCAATATACTTGAGCAACCTGCGTTCGATCCCCGGTGCCGGCACCAATGAAATTGTTAATTTTACTTGCCGAATTATCACGTGCTCAGCGGCGAAGGAAATATCGTGAGGAAACCTGATATTTTCGAAATAATTACAAAAAATATATATATTTCGAAGATATGTGAAGTCCGCTAATCCGCATTGGGGCCGCATGGTGGACTATGCCCTAACCCTCTGTATAAAGGAGGCTTTTTCCGAGCAGTGGGACATGTATAGCCTAATAATTAACTTTTACCTTTACTTTAGTCGTAAATCACGCTATTCTGTTACAGTAAGACGAATAAGATAATTGATACCGCATTCGCTCAGCGTTCCGCTTCAGGGTTTTGTTTCTTTCATTTTCCAACTCTCCATGGATACAATTGCCTGTACGGTAGAAGATTAAATTGAAAACGCACAAGCGATTAAACGCTTTTGGTAATGATCGTCCAGGTGTGTGCGATTCGGTAATTTCATTTGCCGCCAGCTCGGCGACGTTCGTTCAAATTCTGATACGAAATTGTAATCCGATTTCGTGTGATTTAGCGTTCGTTTCATACTTCTGACGATACCTTCCCTTGTAGCGGGATAACTTGTTATTCAGGATATCCTGAATCGGGTCTCGGCTCGTAGCAATAAATTGTAGCATTGTGGAAACTTGACTGAAGATTTCCATTAGCAATTTGGCAAGTCAATGCGATGGAAAGAAATGAAATTCAAGTAAATTAAGTAAGATTATTTATTTTTCCCCAATTATAACAAAACTGGTGTTCACAGTTTACACAGAATTTAGTTTGTCTTAACCATAATAGATATCGACTTTGAAGCCCTAAATCAATTTTTAGATAGTGATCGTTGGCTTATTAGCAGGCTGCTGAAATTAATTGATTAAACCATTTCAAAAGGCAAAATTATCAATAAATACATTTATAATCATACATACCTATACGTTAAAATTTAAAATCTTATCTTTTATTGTATACTGGTAATTAAAAGATAAATTCCAATGACAATCTAATTAACGTTAGTGATATGGTAAACCAGTCGTACATTCCACGAATTATATATATATAGAAAAACATTATGATATTTTAATTTTGAATTTGTTATATGTTAATTTTTTTAATTGTTACAGTTATATAAAAATACATTCACAGAAGACACTAATCAACGCATGCAACGCCAAAAGGAAGCAGAAACCACTCGGAAAGTCCACTGCCATCCAAAATTTCAATTTACCCTCATCTCAATATTGCCTAGTCCCTTATCAAAAGAAGTTGTCACTGTGAAGGCGTAAGTGATTCATACATCCACCTTAGTTGCCAAAAAATTCTGCACGCTAATAACTTAGACGAACGGCAAAATCCGTTAATGGGGAGCCATAGATTTCTTTATCCGTGGAATCGTCACCTGAACAATAAAATTAAACACAGAATGTCGATCCTATCAAAAAATCGCAGACTACTGTGTAGAAAATTACAAAATATGAAAAGGATAGAATCGAAATATGCAAAGTCACTATCACTGTCAGTATTTTTTGTTGTGGGGAGTCTCAATCGTTCACGGAATGACACTAGTTCCTTTCAAGCTATTTCTACTGGAGGGTGGGAAAAAGGTCGAATGCCTCGCTATCAAATAATAACGACGATACTACCGAATCAACAATAAGTAATGACTTACTATGGTAGAAGACCACTTTTATCAACCGGAAATTAGCTTCTAGAACAATCTAGAAGCTTGCTGCTTATGAGGAACAACGTAATTTTTTTTATGTGACAAGTTGCCAAATGAGCAGACGGTTCACCTGATGTTAAGTGAATATCGCCGCCCATAGACATCTGCTACACCCGAGGGTTTGCAGAAGCGTTGACAACCTTTTTGGAAATTGGGCTCCGGCTACCTCACTCACCAGACGAAACGCGAAAGTATTTGTCATACATCCACTTTACGCCGGTCTTCTGTGATGTCGTGGTACTTACCCGGACGAGCCTGCCCATTCGTGCAACAGCCGAGGCTGTTGCGTGGCTCTACCACTGTTGCACAATTGATGCACGCCATCAACACATGACTTATAGAAGATCGGCATTACGTGTTAATACTACTGCCGATAAAGTGACTTTCAAATCGTGTGGTGACAAATATAACTAGGCACGAGTATCTATTATTTGAACGGCCTGATGATGTTATATAAAACTAGCGACCCGCCCCGGTTTTGCACGGGTGCAATGTATTGTACATATAAACCTTCTTCTTGAATCACTTTAACTAGTAAAAAAAAAACGCATCAAGATCCGTTGCGTAGTTTTAAAGATTAATGGATATACACACGGTACATATTAGCGATGGGCGTTGAATCAACGAACTAGTTGAATCAACCGTTGATCTCTTGTTAACGAATTAACTTTAACTGTCATTGAAATCAACTAGGTGAATTCGTTAACGTCACTTCGGAAATTTTTGTCGTTGAATCAATTCGTTTAAAAACGCAGTCAACGATACGTTAAGTCAACGGAACACAAGCGTAACGAATTGAAAACCTTACGTTGAAAAAAACGTACGTTGAAAAAAACGTCACAGAGTTGAGTAGAAATGTTTGTTTAATTTTATGAAGGACATGTTTACGTTCGCTTTCTTTATTTTTGTTTGACAATTTGTGAATATTTGCGCGCAAGGTTATAGAATATTTTGCGGCTTTGCGTAAATATTATCAGAACTTTACTTCATGTTTGGTGTTTTTTTTCTTTGTGAATTTGTTAATTTTTAATTAATTATATTTGGAATTTTATTTTATGTTATTAGTTTTGTTAATCAGAATTTTACTTTGTGGTTCGTGTAAGAAAAAAAAAATAAGTCAGATTTGTTAGATTTATGCATAGATAGCTTTCATCCGTTTTCCCCAGTAGAAGAAAGGGCTTGCAATTTAACATACTTATGTATGTGTCACGTTAACTAGTTGACGAATTTACTTAGTTGATCAATTAGTTGACGAACATGAATCAACGTTAACGTTAAGTTGAAGAAAATACCTTCAACGACCCATTGCTAATCCATATGCATTTAGTAAATAGTGTTTATTTTAATATTACAAACAGACACTCCAATTTTATTTATCTGTATAGATAATGTAAAGTGGAATTTTTTTTCTCTACTAGTCAATCCAGGTAATAAAAGCTTATGGTAGATGTAACAAGGGATGTAAAAATTATAAATTTATAATTGAACGGCCTGATGATATTATATAAAACTAGCGACCCGTTTCGGTTTCACACGGGTGCAATGCCAATACATATAAACCTTCCTCTTGAATCACTCTATCTAATAAAAAAACCGCATCAAGATCCGTTGCGTAGTTTTAAAGATCTAAGCATACATGAGGACAGACAGACAGCGGGACGACTTTCTTTTATACTATGTAGTGAATTAGTGAAGTGCGTGTCCATTTGTCTAGCCCTATGTCCGTCTTTTCAAAGTTCCTTTATACAGGGAGGCTTTTTAAGGGTATCCATTTTTTTAATTAAATTCTTGACATAAATATTGTTATATAAAAATGATAAATATTTAAAATCACTCTTAATTAATTAATTACATTCATTTTAACTTCTATAAAAAAGTGCGTGATTTGTGGGCAACTCATTTATTTTACGCGCGATCATTCATAACTAACACGCACACAAGTTCGTTTACGACGCATTTATGAATGACTACCGCATTGTCAACAAGTTCCGTTTATTAGGGATTTTTTGAAAAAAAAAAAAAAGTTCGCTTTTATTTCAATAAACGATTATGCTACCGAGTCTGAGCCACCTGTGTGAATATGGGCACCCTTAGTGAATGCCCCTCTGTCCCCAGGTGAGGGTGAGCGCGGGGGCGAGCGGCGTCGCGGCGCGGGCGTAGCGGTGTCGCGCGGCATGCGGCGTCGCCCGCTTCTGCCGCTGCTGCTGCTAGCGCTGTTGCGCGCGCACGGCCTGCTCGCCGCGTCCGGAGGTGAGATTTTTTCATGTTAAAAGTTGCCGAACGAGCAGACGGTTCACCTGATTGTTGGCGCTGGCAACACTGTATACCGGATATGACATTATCTACTCGAGCCAAGGGACACATGGTCGCAGGGAGCAGTGGTCACTTGGATTTCGGCTGCGTTTCCGGACGGTGATATAATCACTAGTGCTGCTTGTCGTTATAATAGTTGTTAATATTCAAGTTCAGTAATAGTTAAAATATTAGGATCAAGGTAAAAACATTAGAACTCGTATATGATGTCAAGTGAAAACCGCCGCCCATGGACATCTGCCACACCCGCGGGTTACAGATGCGTTGACAACCTTTTGAAACTTGGGCTCCAGCCACCTCTCCCACAAGACGAAACGCGAAAGTGTCACACTTCCTCTTTACGCCGGTCTTCTGTGAGGTCGTGGTGACCCGGACGGTCCTGCCCATCCGTGCAACAGCCGAGGCTGCTGCGTGGGCCTACTGCTGTCAGTGATCTTAAAAACAATTTTTTGAAGTGAAACTTCTAAAGCGACTTCCATCAAGGTTCCGTTAAACGTTTAACGCTACCATGGAGGGGGTGTGAAAGCACTGTTGCGTTGAACTTTCAATGTTCCTGGGGAGGGGGAATAGAAAGAGACAGAGCGAGAGTGAATGCGTGGCACTCGAAGTTTCACTTCTTCCGTGCGGAGGGACTCCACACACTATTTTTTATTATATTCCAACTGCGTTTAATTGGATTCATGCGATTCTTAGATTTAATTTTTTGTTTCGACTATTTTGTAACTTTTGGCTACACTATCGCACTGGGTCAGCCTGTAATGATAGTTGTGTGCGTATGTGTAATAAACAAATTTTAGAAGGTAGCAAGTAAGATGTCAGCTCACCTGATGTTATGGGATAACCGCCGCCAATTGACATTCGAGGCGCCCGCAGGGTTGCAGATTCGTCAACACCTTTTAGTAAAGGGTATCTTACCTACCCACTTTTTGTGAGATCGTGGTACTTCCCCGGACGGACTTGTCCATTCATGTAACAACGTGGACTGTAGTGTGGCCCTACCGCAGTACCAATACGATTGGGTTCATAAATCGCACGATCCGCCGAGACGTCCGTATTTATAATGACGCAAGGATACATTATAGATAGATTTCAGAACTCTACCAGCATATAATTCAGACATCGGTAGTACATTCATGGCTGACCCGTTATCGATAATATTAGATAATTGGAAAATGTAGGAGTAGTTCTCCCGTTTTGAATCTTTTAGTCAGATTTTATTTGCGATGATGGTCTTTTACCAGTAAGTGAGATGCCTAATTTCCCAGTCCATTAAGAAATGTAATATTTTAACCCATAGTCATGATATTTTGCTGGATTTTTTAAATTAATAATTTAATAACCTATTGTTAATTATTGTTATACATCCATCAAGTTGTGAATATCATTGACAAAGAGACACACAAATATTGAGAGTTATGGTAAAAAGCAAACAAAAGATAAAGTAATCAGCTTAAATTCGTTTTACAAAATGTTGTCCTTGGCCTACCTATAAATGGGAAAGCTTTTATGGTGTTGCCTAAGGCTATTACGTTGTAGATTTAGATCGATGCGTCATAGTCATCGTGGAAGCCGATAACAAAAATTTGAGGTCACAAAAAACCAGGAAACGCTATCAATACATCAATCACAATAAATCCAATGGCGTTTCCTTTGTTTACACAGACTGAATATAACAAATGTGCGGATGCCCAAACTGTGCCAGAGCCGAACAATAATCCATTACGTTATCTTCTATCTGTGGCAACGTCATTGTGGGAATTAGCGTGATGCTAATGCAGACTTGGATTTGTCCAGTCACGCTCTAATATATCCACCCGTCAGACAGAAGTGGCGTGGACTAAGGACGGTACGCGATTAGATTAGCCGAAGGCTACATCGCAGCCGATAGATTCGATATTTTCGCAATCTGTTTCATTCTTGTGGTGATTGCTTGGGTCGCGATTTAATTCAACATACTCAATCTGCACTCAAATTCCGGTGCCAGTGTAATTGTTCTTTGCAATTATAAGTGCCGCCTTGCTCAGCGGTGAAGGTGAACATTGTGAGGAAACCTGCACATGTTCTTTATAATGACAAAAATAAATATTTCGAAGATATTTCAAGTTCGTAAATCTGCAGCGGTATCGCGTGGGAACTACGCCCAGCAGCGGGATATGAAATATAGGCTGTAACTTTGCCTAACTTTCTTTAAATAAAAATAAAGTAACAGTTGGCACTTTTAACAGTTTGCCTTTATTTAAATGGTAGGCAATAAAATTTTATGCTTTAATTTGCATAAGTAGAACCCAATACCATATAATATATAGTAACAACAAACTGGAAGGCGCGAAAATATATATCGTATAAATGTGAAACCATCAACTAAAACGATAAATGAATATAAAAGTTATAAACTAATTTTTAATTTCCAGCCCATACAAAACATTCAGCGCTCCATCGATTGTCGAGCATCGGATTTAAATCGCTGGGATGTTTCAATCAAACAAATGGGCGGTGATTCCAGCACAGTGCGCTAAATTGTAGCGCTTCGGCGCTTGCCTCGTACAAATGTGCTGCGGACGCGTCTGTCTCTGATAAATGAATGGAGCTGTTCTGCCAGTGTTAAGCCGTACCGACGCTAGGCGCGGAGAGCCGATATTGATGAATAGCGGTGCCCACAGGGTTCTATATTTAGCCCAATATTGTTATTGATAACCGTTTTGAACCATTGCTTAAACGGAATGAAGAAAGTTTCCACGCGACAGTGTTCACTGTTGCACGAATGGGCAGTTCCATCCGGGTAACTACCACAACCTCACAGAAGAATGTCATAAAGTAGAGGTGTTACACTTTTGCGTTACGTCTGTTGAGTGGTTTCTGAGTTTCATTTGTAACCCTACGGGTGATGCATATATCCATGGGTGGTGGTTATCACTTTACATCAAGTGAACTGCCAGCTCGTTTGCCACTTTCTCACATAAAAAAGTAGATAGATGTCAAAATTTTCGCGACGTGAGAAAATCGGCCGCCCAATTCAGTTGGTTTTTTTATGTATGAAGTGGGCTGCGTGGCTCTCTTGCTGTTTGCTTAGGGGTTCACCTGATGTTAAAAGACTATTATACTAATATAATACTGTCTGTGGACATATATAACCCTTGGTAGGTTGTAGATTCGTTGCCAACCTATTTAAAAGTGCCCAGTTACGTCACTCACCAGACGTAACGTGAAAGTATAATACTTCCAATTCACGCTGGTCTTCTATAAGGCGGTGGAACTTTCCCGAGCCTGCCCATTCGTGCAACAGCAGGGATTGCTACGTGGCCCCACCACGGTGTAAAGTAAATAAAGCGTCTGGGTGCCCGAATATTTATCGACGTTTTATTTACAAAAGTTTTGAAGTAGTTTCGGTTCATTATGAATACTTTTAGAGCTCGATTGGTGACTGCTTGCTCGTACTGTGACTCTAATAATAATGTCATTCATTTAGGACTACGACTCGATCGTAATAAATATAGCTAATGTTTATAACCTGCAAATGGATCTCGTTAAGTTTTGTACTAAAAACGAAAAAAGAAAACAAGTTAATTTGTTATTTCTTTCACAATCTGGAATCGCTAATAGCAGTGAACCTTGGAGGGTCCTAATTAAAAGATAATGAGAAATTTCAACGTTTGTTTTATGTAAATTGGCTCCGGGGGAAAAAAACGGACCTACGTAGCCGCCTACGGGAGGGCACTCGCATGAAAATACTCTTTCAAATTAAAGCTAAAGTTGATTCTATCGGAGTCGAGAGCCCTCCAACGTTGTGAGCGTTGGGCATTTTCAAATTGAAGGTTCACTCTGTTTCCACATTACTAATTTATATCGGCAACGGCGTTCGTTATTCCATTTCTCTCGCTTTTGATTCGGTCCGAGCGACATTCGCAGTGTCGAGGTGCGATGGCCGACTTTTTGCACTTTGCATTTTTTCGTTTGGAGTGCGAGCGTAAATGTTGAACGGCTGGCGGCTCTGCGGAATTGGAGCTAGCGTGGAATGTGGGACAGCCGTGTGCGTTCCTATTTATCCGTGACGTTACGCTCGGTCGAAATGCTACGCTGTAGTCAAAGCCGATATATTTCAACATTAAGCTACATTAAAGTAAGAAAGTGAGGTAACAGTGGATGTCCCACTTCTGAGCAAAGTTCTCTTCTGCACAGAGGGTATTAGGGCACAGTTCACCAGTCGGCTCCACAGCCGGACTTCACGTATCTTCTAAACATTTTTTGGTGTTGTGTCGAAAATATGTAGGTTTTCTCACGATGCTTTTCCTTCATCGTGATTATTCAGCACTTATAATCAACAATATCATTGGTGCCGGCACCAGGGATAGAATTCAAGTTGCTCGAGTATACTGATTAAAAAGCGATCGCCTGATGAGCTTTCACTGTATTAAGCTTCAATGAATCTCAAAATCTGCCATTGGTTCAACAATAGCTGGAAGGAATTCTTCGGTCAAAGCCGATATATACATATATGATTGAGTGCCTTAACAACAAATGTGTACAATCTTCATTGATCTAATATTTACAAGATTAAATCTATCTAAAATTACATATTATCTAATAAACCTAATCCACGCGGCACGGTGCCAAGAACGAAACTTAACAAAAAACTTAGCAACCAGTTGAAATTTCTGGGTTCCTAATCTTATTTGTAATATAAATTTGGTATGTTTTCAAAATTTTATACGTAACTCTTTACACGTCAGTTAATCATGAAATTACATTTAATTTCAAATGCTTGACTTATGATGACTCGATGGTGCAGTTACTTAGATATAGGCTTCATAACCAGGGTTCGTGGGCTTCACACGGAACAAGTATTTGTGCGACTCACAAATAATTGTTCCGAATCTGGGTGACGCCAGCAAGCGGTCGGCCGTAAATACCTAGCCAATATTTCTTAAAACATGATTCACATATGGTGCTGACCCCATCTAGGTGGGAAAAGGGCGGGAGGTTGACTGATGATTGGCTACCGTAGGAATGTTGTGTATTGATATTTATGATTAATATTGTGGTTGTCCGTTTTTGGAATGGCAGTTGTTTTATTAAGTACAGATATGACAGTGATAGTCTATTTACTGATAGCGTGTTAATTAGGTTGCTGTTAGAATTCAACTGCTGTTTCTAATGATTTCTAAATCGAGTTTTGAACCTTAATAAGCTTTGTCATTGACTTTTTAATAGTTTTTGATGTTATTGGGACCACGAAAAAGAAGTAAGAGTAATTTGTTATTTGGTTTTATGTATTTTAACGGTGGTAGGGCCACGCAGCAGCCTGGGCTGTTGCACGAATGGGCAGGCCCGTCCGGGTAAGTACCACGACCTTTGGAAGTATGACAAATACTTTCGCGTTTCGTCTGGTGAGTGAGGTAGCCGGAAATAAACCCTCGGGTGTGGCAGATGTCCATGGGCGGCGATATTCACTTGACATCAGGTGAACCGTCTGCTCGTTTGACAACGTTTCGCATAAAAAAAAAAAATATAAATTGCAGTTTCTTTGAAAAATAAATGTTCTATCATTCAATGAAGAGCCAATAAAGAGCGAGTTGGACTAGCGCACGAAGAGTTGCGTACCATTATCTACAAAAAAAGGCAAAAACTTCATGTCTGTTGTATTTGTACCCCACTTAAATATTTTCAAATTCTGTTTTGTAGTATTTTTTGTTAGAGCGGTTACAGAACAACATCTTCTGTGAAAACTGTCAACTGTTTAACTATCACGGGTCATGAGATGCAACCTAGTGACAGACAGACAATCAGACAGCGGAGTCTTAGTAGGTTCCATTTTAACCTTTGAGCTAAAAAGCAACCAAGGCGAGATTTTCCAAAATCTGACCAATCCAAAAACAAGGGAATCCGGTTTTCAACTTAAATATAACTAAAAATAAAATCGTTAGTAAAAAATTAATCGATGCAGTGTTTCATTTTCCGCTAGCATTGTCCAATTATAGGTTAATAGGTAATTACGCTGTAATTTGAGCTCGAATTATGTCCTGGAAAATTATTGCCAGTTAACAATTTTCGGCGATATTTAAAAGTGATCTACTGAATTGTAGTTCGCATCGTATTGGGTCAGCGCATCTGTGGCGTTTACTTTAGTAAAATTATTAAATATGATGAATAACCCTTACTAATATTATAAACGCGAACGTTTGTATGTATGGATGTTTGTTACACGCAAAATCTACTGAATATATTTTAATGAAACTTAACAATAATATAGCTTATACATCGGAATAAGAGATATAGAGGCTATAATTTAGATACATATTTTTATGTATACCTGTTTTTCTGTTTGAATATTACACCTTCAGCCTATTCTACGCAGACGTAGTCGCGGGCAGCAGCTGGTTATACAGCGTGTCTTTACCACCGCGACATTAAATGAACACACGTCTAACGCTCCTTGCCAATAATAATAAAAAAATATTAACGTTAATGAGATTCCCGTAAATGAGATATATGTTAGCTATAACCGTAGCTATGCACATCATTACTTTCGAGAATTTGTTTACTCTGGTGGCGACAACCCTGTGTGCAGAGACGTTTTAGCCCACTGGGAGGTGAATAGCTTCTCCATTTGGATAAGTTAATAACATCGTAGAATCAGACATTTAATTCATCGGCCTAATTGGATTACGGTTAATTATAGAACTCATTAAAACTTTCAATTACAAATCTGTTAACTTTACAACCGTCAGGGGCAGATTTTTAAATAATACACGTATGCTGATTCGGAATTAAACGAATGTCGGAAGGTTAATCCAAGCCGTGGATCTCATTAAAATTTCCAACGTGGAGGTCAATTAACCTTTAAAATTCAAATATCGT